AGCACGCACATGTCAAGCAATTGGAAAAACTTACACCGATTGGGAAAACCATAGAGAATTGTTGTATTAGCTGATTTATAGTATGTACATATACCTGATCTGGGTAGCATGCAATTTTGGAAAACTTAAAATAGAAATATATCTTAAAACTACTGTTTCATAAATGTATTTTCATGCAGTGCTTACTAAGGAGCGCCTAACTTTAAATATAAACAAGAAGAATTTATGCATATTCGCGACATTCCTATATAGAATATTTTTTTTTTTTTGACTCGACTTGGTAATCAGTAAAAAATTTAAGTAATACAGATTGTTTGTGCAAGAATATGTACAAAGTGAGTTTTCGGCCAGCAACAATTCTTAGAAGTACACGGAAAAAATCTTGGACTATTCCCTTGGCTAAAAAGTTAGGCTGAGAAATCCGAATCATATTTTGAATTTTAGATTCTTGGGAAATTTGTTTTCATTGTTATTAATTTAAAACCAAATTTTGTTTTAGAATTTCCGATATTCCTATAAATGTTGTCCACATTGTTCAACTTTCAACTTGATATATTTCAATCAGAAAAATTTTAATTTATGTATACGAAATTAACACATCCGGAATATAAAATTTTTTGAGAAAATATAATTAGCCTTTAATCATTTCAAAATAGTTTAGTCTTAATGTTTAAAATAAGAGAGAAGCCTGTTCCTCTACTAGAATTCAGTTATAGACGGATGCTTATAATAATATTCGAGTTTAGTCCCAGATTTCTAACCGTGTGCATAGTGGAATAAGTAGAAAAAGGACCTTATTTATACAAGAGGCATGCATTATATGGGATGTAGTAAGGTTCATGCATTAAATGGGGACATTTAGCTTGGAGAACAACAGTTAACCCAGCGATAGTCCTCGCACTCACCTTACAGTGGACTGGCAAGCGCGTTGGTATCCAGGATACCTTATTTGAATCTTGAGTGCCCGTCAATTGATCGACTGAATCTAAGTATATGGTTAACGGCTGAGTGGGGCTAGCATAAGTTAGTAATTGCTTAAAATGTGCTGTTAGGGGTACAAGATCATCTGGTATGTTCTCAAAGGGTAGCATATAGTTGTACGATATCTGCATAGTTCATATATATACATATGTATATATATATATTTTGTTGGGTAGTAGAAAAACGAAATGAATAAATTTTGTGGCTGTAAATAATGGATTGATATCACCTGCTGGCATATTGATATGAGAGTGGCTGTCAAGGCGCTCGAGTCCGGGGTTGTGCCTAGGAAGCGGATTATATTGATTGGTCGCTTATCGGCAAACCATTCGCTGGCTACCAGTGAGGCGCTCTTGGCCAGCAAGGAAGTCTTCCCACAACCTCCGTCGCCAAAAAGGACAAGTGGCTTATCTGAATCCCCCAGCATATAGCGCTTGATACGTTCGCAACTTTCTTCGCGGCCATAAAAGATTTTCACCGAATTGTTACAAGCATGCAAATGCTGAAGGATCTCAGTTACTATCTGCCCCTGTGCACTGGAGTCTTCTTTGCGCATGGCCCTATCCACGAGCTTAACAACGTTCTTATAGAAGTGCGAAATGAAATGATTCAAATACTCCTCGTGCGTCTCAATGTCCAGGCCCTCGCGACCAATCCACTCTACAGTATATCTGAAAATGGGGCAAGCATTAAACTCCAAGCTGTGATCCAAATTATAATATTTTTACTCACTTTTGTGCATTGCTCGCCTCGATCTTGGCGGGCAGGCGCGTATCCCTTAGGTCGCTCAGTAATTTGGCAGACTCCGTGTCCAGGCTACGATTGATAATGTCCACAAAGAGCGAAGCCTTCTTCAAGTTTTGCAAATTGATATTGTTTATATAGCGCACATAGGCCAGACAATGATTCTTGGTATTCTTCACATTCAAAACGCCATTGATCACCTCCCTCTCCGTAACTAAATGAACGAAACAAAATGCAGTTGATCTGTGCTATTTATCGTCCATCTCCGGGACTTACCCGACATGAAATAGTTGTGAACATCCTCCTTGGACATCTTATTGCTAGCGCCCAGCGAGGCGGTAGCCTTACGCAGAAGTTTTTGCATCTTGTTTAGCGTATCCCACCAGACGGCCTGATCCTCAGCCTGCAGCTTGGGCACGCGCTGTAAAAGAGATGTGGCTAAGTCGAGCCCTGTTTTCTGCCGGCTATCAAAATTTACCTTGTTGTTAAAATTGATCAAAATCGAAGATATGGGCTGCAGCACTGAGATGGGCGGCACGGCATTGCTGTCCTTTTTATACCACAGATCGAGCAGTGCCCGATCCACGCCCATAGATGTCAGCTCCTCGCATATCAGCTGCAGCTCCGAGGAGACTATGTATGTGGGTATGGGCCGGTAGCCATACTTTTGGCCCAAAAACACAATGAAATTGGGTCCCATCGATAGACGCTGGCAATTTTTGATCTCACGCATGCAAAGCTCTGTGGTCATATGATCGTCTGTGGCCTCATCTCGAACACCCCAACGCATGTCGACCACCTGAAATTCGAGACCGTGCTTCTCGCGACAATAGTCCTTGATTCTGGGATAACACTTGGCCATCAGTGTGTTTCTCTCCATTGTGGTATCTATTTTATGGAATATACGCGGTTACATAAGAGCTCACACATGATGAATCACATGCAGTTTGTAACACACCCGTAAACGTGGAGCTGGTAAAAATACGGACAATCTTCGAACTAACCGGCGGCAGGGACTCCAGGGAGCCCAGGAATATCGAGTCTATAGTGCGATCATCCATGATTTGGATTTTATGTGGACCAATCAACTGACACCTATGTGTGATGCCGTTTTCGGTGCTGCTTTTTCTAGGACGTTCCGTATAGGTTGAAATCCAATCTATGTATGCGCCAAGCGGAGACCCAGAAAGTCGCTTAAAGTTCACATTATAATGCTTGCTGCTGTTTGGTCGATATTGCGAACTACGGATATGTGGCGCATTTGACAGTCGCCTAGTTGACGGGTTGTTTTGAGTTCAGCTCGACTGACAGGCCAGACCAGGCAGGCCAGGTAGTCCACCACCCACTCTCCAGGCAGCCCAGGTAGCCCAGGTAGCCACGGGCAACACTTGTTGCGCCCCGGCGCCGGCATTGTTTTGATTGGAAAGTCGTTGCAGTCGTCGTTATTCGTCGTATCTACAGCTGCCGCTATTCTGATTGATGTTAGCCGTGTTGGATTTATTCAAGGTACTAGTAGTACAACAAGTGTCTTCAAGTGCTCTGAAGTTGCCGCAGCCGTGACGTCGACAGTTGCGTGCTTGCCACACATTCCCAGGCGTTGGCGTTGTTGCAACTTTCAAAGTCGTTCGCGGCTGACAAACGGTGCCACTTAATGGGCCTTCAGTTGCGGGTGCGACTTCTTGAGGTACACCACCTCTTCCCCTTCACCTTAGCACGCGCAGTAGGGCATGGGCATGGGCATGGGCATGTCTTACAATTCTTTCAAGTCTTCAATCATTGACCTCGACCTAGAGGCGTGCGTGCTTATACGAATAAATCAATGGATGGTGCAATTTGGGCAAATTCAGAGGCCCTTTCACTGACATTTTGACATTTGACTTTTGGGGTCAAGCAATTGCAGTTGAGTACCTGGCACGTGTAATCCGATTATCAGCACAGGCAACAACTTTTATAAATATTTCACTTTGAGATTTTGTTATTTGAAAATGTGATCCATTAGATAATCAGAAATGCACTTGATTTATGTAGTATAGTATAGTGAGTTTCAAAGCTAATTTTAGTCTTATCCTTCAAGTTCAAATCAATTTTAAATAATGTATTAAATATTAACGGAGATATAACCAACGGAATGGACCAAATATTTTTTCGAAATAAGTAAAGCAAAGATGAAGACAAATTGGAACTCCATGATAAATGATAAATCCATAGCCGTATGTCATCTTGTCGCTCAATTTCCGGAATATTCATGGAAGTTAAAGTCGAACAAATTGAAGCGTTACATTATAGTAACGATCGGCAAGGAAGTATAAGTTGCGTAAATGTCTGCAAAATTATATAATCATGAGGATCCCAAGACACTATTATAATTTTGTAGTTAAATGTGTAACGTATAGGAGACCTACGGCACCATTAAGTATATTTATTATACTTCACATAGCTGCCATAGAAACAATCGGCCGAATAGTAGGTTCATATCTGAAGAACTTTTTTGTATATAAGGATATCTTAACCAAGGCTAGGTAAACTATGCTGCTTATATATGAGCCAAATAGTAGCTCTATGGGAAGAATAGGTTGAAAAAATTGCAAAATTATTCTGTTTTCCAAGACATTTTGATAAAGCTCAGCATTTGCAAGCTTCACAATTCTCACACATTTGCAAAACCGTAAGGAAAATGTCCACTGGGCATTAAATCTGCACCGTGCCGAATATATCATTACCTTCTCGTTATAAAATATAAATATTTTGAAAATCATTAAAATTAAGTTCGAGTATTTAGTTATAGTCTTAAAACAAAAGGTTAACGCATACATCTACCTCCACTACTACATTCATAAATGTTGTTCAGAACATCTTATGCAAATTTAAAGTTTTACAAAAAAATAGACTCGGATTTCAGGCTTAGTAAATGTATATTTCCTGTAATAACATTTTATTTCGCAACCTTAAGGCCTACCATTCCTGATAAACCTTGCCACTGGCCAGCATCAAAGAAATCCATTTAAATAAAAATCTTGTATTTTATAACAATATGTTTATTTGTCATTTTCAGATTTTGTTTTTTTTAAATATTTTATGTGTATTTTTCTGATTAATTTAATTTTGTAAATGTTTTGTATACCAATATATAATGTTCTTGATTCTTGATGAGTTATGTGAAGAATGTGGCTAATGTTTCTTGAATATCGGGTGCATTTGTCATGAGAGCTGTATGTAAAATATTTATCATAGGCCTGTTGATATTTGTATATACTATATATGTATTAAATATTGAATTTAGTTTAGTAAAACGTTTATTAATTCGCATATTATGCATACTTGTCTATGATTTTGAAACGCGTTTAACTAATTTCATTTAAGTTGGCTATAGGAAAATGGATTATATGCTATAGGTGTTTTTTATATTTCATTTTTTAAGTATCAAACGTTAGTGTTTCTTTTCGAGAAGGATAAAACATGTTAATCACTTTTGTTCTTGTTTATAGGGACTGTCGCGCAAATTAAATTAACTACGATTCCATACGAATGGAAACTGCATTACATATTGTGTTTATTATATTTAAATATATTTATATGTAGCTATATTTCAATAATAAATAGTTAAACATATTGAACTAAACAGTAATCAAATAAAAATAAAAAAACAAAACTAATTAATATTACAGAGAAAGAGAGAGAAGAAATAGAGAGAGATAGAGATAAAAAAAACACGTACAACTGCAGCTCCTGTGCATACACAGATGTTTCTAGGGTATTTAGCCAGCGGTTTCTAGTCCATTTTGCAGGATCTTTGTTGCTGCTGCTGCGCTTGTTGTTGTTGTTGGTGTTGTTGTTGTTTTCTTAGCTGCGGATGCTGCAGATGTCGTGTCCGGTTTTTGGTCCGGTATGGCTTTAGCCGCCAGTGCCAGTTTATGTATGTGTGGCGACGACGGCGACGTCACTGTTATACTACAATAAGAAAAAGCTAATGGTTTACACGCACACACACACACGCACATACGCACGCACACCAAGAGAGGGGGGCGCATTGTTTGTTGTTGTTTTTGGATGGGCATTTTGGAAGGCGGGATGTGTTTTAGTTTTTGCATAAACATATTTACAAAGCATTTTAGTTTATGTTTTTTGTTTTTTATGAGTTTGTTTTGTTTTTTTTTTTTTCAATTTCGTTTGGCATTTGGTTGATGGCGGGAGGCGGCGTTTGTTTTGTTGATTTTTTGGGTCAGTTTCGGATGTGTGGTTGGCATGGTTTGTAGTTTGTAGTTTGCATGTATGAAGTAATTATGTTAATTAGATAAGCCGGCAAAAACAGACCTTATAAGCTAAGTAGCTAGCTAGCTAACTAGTGATAGTTATACATATGCATATATAGGTATTATCGAGCTAATGCGACTACGGTGCTTAGTGCTTGTGCTGCCTGCTGTTTGAGTTGACTTCGTTATCAGCATACCTAGGGCTGTTGTCGTCCTTTTCGCAGATCAGCGTGCGTGTGGTGCTGGGTGGGATGGTGGGAACGTTTAATGACTGCTGTGAGCTGCGTTTAACATGCACGGGTCGCAGTCGCTCTTCCAAATCGCTGATGGAGCCCACAGAGCTGATGCTCTCCTCGCTGCAAATATTAAGCGATTAGTTTAATTTATTACTGAGCTAACACACATATAGACGTGTTTACCTCTCGCTAAGCTCCTCCTCGCCCTCCTCCTCCATGGCCTGCTGTAGATCCGCAATGCGTTGCAGCGCCAAGCGCAAGTCGTTCTTTAGCGCCGTACCCTCCGATTCCATGACCTCCATTTTCTTTTCCAGATCCTTACGACGCGTCAGCGACTCTTGTTCGCGGCTAGACAGCGAGTGATATTCCTCGCGCATGTCACGCAAACTCTTTTGAGATTTTTTGAGCACATCCTGTGACTGCATTTCCCGCAGCTTTGACTGGGTTACTTCGTTTTGCAGCTTCTCTAGCGCTTCCTTATGCCGGCTCACCTGCACCTCGAGACGTGCACGTGTCGCCTGCTCCAGTTCCAGACGCGATTCCAGCTCCTTTGTGCGCATTTCCAAACTGCGTAAAATATAAAATATAAAATCTTAAGCAACTATTTGTTGTTTATAACTATTTATCAAACTCACCGCTTGGACATGACAGCAATGGAGGGATCACCCAGGTTCTCCACATTGTCGAGTCTGTGCTGCAGTTCGGCCACCTGCTCTTTGAGGTTGTTGCGCTCAGCTTCGAGTTCAGTGAGCTTGAATTCTGTTTCGGATACATTGACTTGCTCTGTATTTAGCTGCTTAACGGTGGCGCTGTACTTCTTCATTAGCTCGCCCAGCTCCTCCTCGTTCTCCTCGATCTGCGCCTGCAGTTCGGCGCGATCGCGATGCGCCGCATTGGCCCGTTCCTCGGCATCGTTGCGCGCCCTATGCGACTCCTCGAACATGGCTTGCACCTCGGCCAGCTCCGCCTCGGCCGTCTGGCGCGCCTTCATGGCCAAAGTGCGTGCCGATTCCGCATCCTCCAGCTGATTGCGCAGCTGCCGGATAAGTGTTTTGCCAGGCGTATCCGCTTTGAGTCGCTCCAGTTGCGTCTGAGCATCCTTCAGTAGCGCCTTGTACTTGCGCAAGTCGCGACGCAGCTTTTGATTCAGCGCCTCCTCGGCATCACGATCCACTCGATCGCGATCCTCCATTGAGGAGAGGCGTCGCTCCAGCTCGTGCTTTTCGCGTAGCAGCAGCGTACGCTCTTCATGCTCCGTTTCCAGCTGACATTCAAGCGCCTTGATTTTCTTGTAGCCATTGCCGCGGACCTCCTCCAGCTCCTCGTCGCGCTGCTGTGACTCGCGACGTGCCTCTTTACGCATTGTCTCTAGGGTCATCTCTAGACGCAGCTTGGCCTGTTCCAGCAGTTGTATTTGCCCTGCCATTTCGTCGAGCTCCTCCTCCTGCTCCTTGGCGCGCCGCTCTGTTTCGTTCTTCGAGCGTCGCAGCTGCGCAATCTCCTCCTCAGTGCCACCGCCAAAGGTCATCTCCTCCAGCTCACGCTGCAGTGAGGCCAGCTTTTCCTCTTTCAGCTCTAGATCCAGACGCGTGTCCTGCAAGTAAAACAGACAATCACAAATCTGATAAAAAACAGAGAGAGCCGCGCGACAGTTTCGACCCGTCCCGGTTCCACCAAATGCACGTACTTGAATCAACCGAGCTGCATATGTGGCGCTGATACTCATGGCTGTACTTGAGCACTGAGTAAATTGTTTCACATATGGATATGGAAATGGATCTAAAAACAAAAAAAATCGGGGCACAGCTCTGTCCGGCCAGTTATCACGCGGCCCGAGTCGAAATTCTACTTATTATGATTATAATAATTATTATTGTTGTTGTTGTTTTTTATTATTTTTTCGTGGAACTGGTCGTTTGTAATAGATGTGCGTTTGTCTGTATGCACGTACTCCAGTTATCGCGCCTCGACGTCCATACAACCACTGGCCCGGCCACAGTCATCGCTAGCGATCGTCAGTTGTCGCTGAAGAAAGTCACAAAAAGCAGAGACAGAAACTTGTGACGCAAACTGCCTCAGTACAGGCCGATAAAAACATGAGAACCCACAAAAGAAAAACCAGAACGAGCCGCTATCTTTGCCACAGCGAAGATTAAATGCCCTTCTCAAAATGTTATCCAAAAATGTGTCGACCAATTATTTCTTATAATAAAATAGTTCAATATTGAAAAGTTTTCGCTCAAATTTAGGATGTATTGTGAGTCTTATAGCTGTCGAGGTAAGGCAAGATATCTTGATGAACTAAAGTTGTTTTTTTTTTCGACCAATTTGTCGTCTGAAGATATATGATATAGAAGTCCGATGATGTTGACAAGATTTTACACATATGTGTGGAGCATAAAAACTGACATGTTTGGTCACAATATATTGAAAATCAAAAAAAAAAATCGTGGACAAATGATCATTCCTATGGCAGCTATATAATATAGTGGTCCTATCCAGCCGACTCCGACGACAAGAACACATGGATTATGGGTTCGTAGAGGCCTGCTTTTATCCGTTTCGCTTTTCGTGGCAAAATGTGAATACCCTCTTCAAGGGTATCAACAAAAACCACTCAGCTGAACTCGAATCGCACTCAACTGAGCGCATCTAAGGGAAAACCTTCTTAAAATACACGAGAAAGAGCATGCGGCAGGGAGTGTGTTGCGTGGAGCGTGCAGCAAGTTGCATGCATATGGTGTGGGCAGGTAGTTGAAAATTGCCATTGTATACACGCAGATGGTTTGTCAGTCAGTCGGGCAGACAGTCGGCCAGCGGCGTGGGTAAACAAGCCGAACGAGTTTCCAAAGAGGCAGGTCTTCAGATACTGCATATATCTGTATCTGCCGCAAAATGTTGAATGTGCCACTGCCACTGAAACTGGCACTGCCACTTGTTGTTGCCGGAGCTGATTATAAAACCGATTTGTTTGCTTGCCTGCCTGCGTTTTCATTCTGTCCTGCTCTCGAGCGCCAAATGTTGCCTATTATTTTTTGTTTGGCCTTTTTCAGCGGATTTTTTGTAGCTAGAAGCGTGCTGAACGTTCTGCAACATTGTCAACTGCTTAGCAACATATGCTGGCAACATTTATGTTGCTTGCGCAACTAGAGATGGAAGCGTGAACTGGTGAACAAATCAAAGCCATGATTTTGTGTGTTGTATATGATTCATGTTGTGTGCAATGTCCGAAGAGAATCATTAATTGGAATTTGGAGCCCAATTTAAATTACGATTTAAATTGGACTGATATTTTAATAGATAATTGTTGATCAATTTACCAGGTGTTTCACAAAAGATTGGTTGTCCACTTAGCTGAGCAACACAAAGTCTCTGCTTTGTCGTGATATAACTAATAGAATATGTCCGTGTAGAGTGGTTGCTCAGTAATTGTAACCTCAATAAATATATTTTATATTCGTACGTTATTTCTATAATTTCGGTATATTAATATTTCTGCATATCAATCAGTTTCAAATGTAATGCATCCAAGTCAAAAACAAAAAAAATTTCACAAATTAAAGTATATCTCGAGAAAACAATGCATATTCACAATGCTCAAATGTTCGAGAGTCCACTGGACTATTTTGTTACTTATATATGCATAAAACATTTATATATACTCATTATTATATATCTGTTTCGTCTTACTCACCGCCAGCGTTTGTTCGAGCGTAAATTTCTCAGCTTGGAGCACATCTTTTTCGCGTCCGTAGCGCTCTTTGGCCTGACGCTCCTGGCGCGATGCATCCTGCAGGGACTGACACTCGGCATCGAATTTGCGCTGCTTCTTCTCCAGCAAATTGTTGCGTGCATTTTGCTCCTCGAGCAGCATGCGCAAATCATTCATCTCGTTGGTCATCTTTTGTGCCTTGCGTTTCCATTGGCCCACAACCTGACGTTGTTCCTCAACTTCCTCGTAGGCATCGGATAGCTGCAAATGTGGGAAAGCTCAGATCAAGTTACTTCGAGCTTACATTTAGACAACACACCTTCTTCTCCAATTGCTTTTTGAGCCCGACCAGCTGTTCCAGATCGTGCTCATGCTGCGTCTGCAGTCGTCGCTTGGTGAACTCCAGTTCCCTGGCCACGCGCTCGTATTTCAGCTTGTAAACGCCACCGCTGCCCTCTTCGTGCTCGGCGTCCTCATCCTCGGAGATGCCATTCAAGTCGGATTTGGCGCATATCAGCTCCATTTCCAGCTTCTCGCTCATCTCCTGTAGGTTCTTTACCTTGGTCTGATGCTCCCCGAGCTCCTTTTCCAGCTTCAGCCGTTCGGCAGTCTCCGCCTCCAGACGCTCGGTGGCAATATGCGCCGTGGAACGCTCCTCTGCCAGATCCACGGTCAGCTCGGATAACTGCAAATGAGAAGCGTGAAGAGAAGTCAAATAATTTGGCACTACTCTGTGCAAAATCGTACTTGTTTGCCAAAAATTCCTAATGTTCGACAGAAATTCGCGTGAAAAATATTTGTTTTACGTGTTTCATATTGAACTCATTTCTATGGCATATTTATAAACAGTTAGAATACATATTTATTTATCCTATCGGCATGCTAAGTTTAGCAATAGAGGCGTTGCGCAAATGACCTCAGCCCACGGATCGTCAATGGAAAAATTTAAAAGTTCTTAACGAAAAAATTAATTGTATTAATTTTGAGTACAACAATATTATTGTTTACATTTTTAATTCGATGATAAGAAGCTGAAAAGTGATAAGATAAAATTTCAATTCCTATTTCCCTAAAATGCTTTTTCTGTTTTATACGTTTATCAGTTTAAGAGACAAGCAATGAATTATTAATTTAATAAAATGTTTTATCACTTTCAAAAAATGTTCGAAATATTTTAAGAATATATATTAATACATTAAATTTTGAAATATTCATAATATATATATATTTATATTAGATACATACATATGAATATATATGAGGTAAAAATTATTATTTTTTAATAAACAAAAAAAAATATATATATAGTTGTTTTGCTGTATCTCAATAGAATATTGATACTTTTATTTAATTGCATTGGAAGATAGGAATGGAGAGCTATAAGAAACTTGTAAAAGGTAAAACAGCTGGAGATAAGTGCTGGTGGATATTATTTTAATATAGGTGAATTTTTATTTATGAGCGCAAAAAGCGACAATAAATTTATAAAAATAAATTTTTTCACCGTCTAGATGCAAAGGCGACCAAACGTACATATATATATATATATATATATCCATCTTTCTTGATTCTAATATAGAAATATCGAATTCAAACGTAAATATGCCTCAGAACATTTTTAAGTACTAATAAATTTAATTCAATAATCATCGCATCCCCTATAAACAACAACTGAATCTATGGAATATTCCCTCGCCAAGTCCACCTAGTACTTAAAGAATTCATTCGGCGTGATTCACGCATTATTTTGTTGTTATCCAGAAATAGATCGACCCGAGTATCTGAAGTGAAACGCTAACTTTAGCAACATCTCGACGTCGATGTCGGAGGATGCCGCTGTCAATGTCAGCGCCGGCGTTGTTGCATGGAATTGGAATTTTTCAACCATATGTTTACTTAAGAATCATTTATATTTATATGCTCTAGACTGACAAGACATGGGCAGATAGGAGTCATCATTCGAAATGATGTCAACTGCCCACACATGCACAGAGAGAATTAAATTAGAAATCAAAAGAGCGACAAGCTCAAGGTTAGCAGCAGCAACTACCTCGTCCAGCTGATTGTCATCCTCCTCACGTATGGTGCGATCGTCATCATCATCATCGCCATTCATCGCTGAGGTGGCCACCGACGAATCTCTGGCCACGGAGTTGCCACGCGACGTTGGCGTGTGCGGCAGCTGTTTGGACAGCTGAAACGCCTTGGTCAATATGTTTTGCGCGGAACGTGTGCGCCCCACCGAGCCGCAGCGTTCCATGCTGTTGCGTTCGCGCTGTCGCTCAATCAGCGAGATGGTATCGTAATCATCATAGTGCACCGAGCTGCCGCTGGGCGTGCTGCAGCGACTGCTGTAACCGCCCCCCACTCCAGTTGTGGCGCTGGCGTTGCTGCCGCTGCTGTTGTGGCGTCGCGTGCGCCGTCCCATGGCTGTCCATTCCTCCTGCACGTGGTCGGTGCGCTTGAGAAAGTTTTGTATCTTCTCACTTAGGTAGGCGGAGGAGGTGCTTGGATCCTCGAACGAGGGCGTCGGACGCAGCGTCTGATGCACCGGTTGCCGTTGGCAACCCAAAACAAACGACAGATTCGCATCAAACACCACAGACGAACTCTCCAGCTGACGCATCTCATACGGGTCCAAGCCGCTGCCCCTCGTGTAGGTCTGTGGAAATACGCGACGCGGCGGCGTTTCCAGGCGCGATGTGCGCGAGACACTGGACTGTGTCGAGCAGCGTGAGGATGTTGAATAAGCTGGACTGGGCGACCGTGTCAACAGGCGCAATCGATCCATGGCAGCATCTCCAGATGCCCCTATGGCTGTTGCCGTGCCTGTTGAAAGAGGCAGTTTCAGCGAGATCTCGTAGTGGCTTTTAGTGTCCTTAGTCTGGTAATTACCCAGTCCGGACGTTGAAAGCGACTGCGAGCTGCTGCTGTGGCTTGTGGCACGTGTCGTGTAGCTGTTGTGGTTATTGTTGGTGTGGTGTGTGTTGCGTGTATTGGTCGTATTGCTGTGTCCATTGGTCAGCACATGAACAGGACTTTGCTCGCGCTGCTTGGGCAGCAGACGCAGCTGTTTGCGTGCCTGGCTGCTGGGCGGTTTGGGTGGCTTTAGTGTGCCCAGCGAGGAGCCACTGCCGCTGCCGCTGCCGCTGCTGTTGTTATTGTTTCTCGTAATACCATTCATGGCGGCCAATACGCGTGCCATAAAAGTGTCCTTCTCCTGCTCTAGTGCACACTCTAATTCGATATTAGATTCATCTTTGGCAGCTGGCGGCGCTGCAATGTCAGCACTGTCAGCAAGAGCTGCATTAACAGGCGCCAGCGGTGCCATTGGGGATAGGAAGGAGGGCTAGCTTGCGGGTTGGATGCGTGTTAATCAGGAGCAGGGGGAGAAAGGACCAGTAGGTTAGTGGGCTTAATTTGGGTTTAGTTTTCGTTTTGGTTGAATCTGGATTTGTAGAGCCAATTCGTTAATTTCGTTTTGAGTTCGTTTCTAAATCGTTTTGGTGATTTGGTTGTGTTTTTCGTTTCTAGGGGTAGGTTTGTGTGGTTTTACGTGCTGTCAAAAACTTGAGATCGCTTGCAAGCTAAAATTTAAATTTATCGCGAAAATGCTATTTATTTTGGCTTCAGCATCAAATTGCCAATATGCTTCGTTTCTTTTCCCCTTCTTTCTGGCTTTTCTTTTGGCAACGATTTTTCTATCGCACACACGCACGCAAACGTATCGGATTCGGACTCAGATTTGCATACGAATTCGGATACGGATCTCGCGACACGGCACGGTACACGTTGTTGGGCGCCTCCGGCGTTCGCGTCGCGACGTTTGCTCAGCAACTAAGTGAATCTCTTTGGGAACGGCGGCCACTTGCGATGCGTGACCAGAAAAGCTCGCCGGGCAGCTGCTTTTTGGCAAAATGCTCAACACAGTCTGAGAGTGAGAGAGAAAGCCGGAGAGCGTCTGGTAAAAGAATTGCAACATGGGCCGCCTCGGTATTGACATAATCTCGGATATATATACTTGTATATACTATATATATGTATTCCTGTACAAATGTATTTAATAAGTCGAGACAACTGTTGATTTGCTCAACGTTTATATAAATGAATGACCAGCATGTGGATCGAAGTTGCAACACGAGTACACAGCAGCGCAATAAAGTATTATTAATGTATTTTCTGAGCATTTAAAAATACATATACACCTAGCTATTCTTAAGTGCAGAGATACACCAATATTCATGTACATAAACATGCGTATTTATACATAAAAGCGTATCCCCAGTCAGTGTTCAATGGACTCACGCATTGCCCAAAAGCTATTTATATTTTACAATAAACCAAACAAGAGGCGGAAATATCGCCAGATCGCAGTCTTAACTCAATCGTATCTATCACAGAAATGCACTCATTGCGAAAATTCTATTGGCCAAATACAATCTAGACGAAGTTTTCAATGGCATTAAAGCATGCAAACATTTTACATGAACTTCCCTTTTTATTTAATATTGTATTGAGCCAAATCTATAGCAACTACGCGCTTTATGAGTTTACATAAATAGTTATTAAACTTAAACAAGTAAATTAAAGTAAGTATTTTTCTTAACATTGTTGCTTCAAAAAAAGTTGTTTATTCATAGAAACTTGACCTTGATGCATTTTAATTTTGATATAAGAATTAGAGAGGTCAAACATAATTTTAAAAGAATGGTTAACAAAATAATTTCTTTTATATATGGTTACAAAACATATGTTTTGATTTTTGACTGACATATTTTTTTTCGTTTTGCTTCTTTCGTTCTGTTTGGTTTCTTTTGAGTACTAAGCAAATGGTAAGACATTGTTCTAAAGCAGCTGCTATGCCTATTTAAGATAGCTAGGGCATTCTTATCCTTCTGTTGTCAGTGGGCAGATGCACTTAAAGCACGTTATATCATCGTTGTATAGTTTATGTTCGAATTTCTGCTCTTGATTGGAACGATATTATTATAATGAAATGTAACCTTATCAAAGCGATTCGAACTCCAATTGATTTGTTACTACCAGTAGCCCAAAAATGGCAATACCAAACCTGAACAGAAACATTGTTTATAAAATGGTTTGGATCTGAAAAACTATATTCACGTATCGAGCCTACCATATAATAATATGCCAAATATATAGATTACTTCATATATATATATAAGTATTTAAAAAATTGTACAATATTATTTAATTTAAGTATTGACAGTATATCATTTAAATTGTGAATTGACGCATGTGCCCGATAATATATAACTTATTTTGTCCCAAAAATGACAAATTCGCTAATGATTAAAAAAGGCCAGCATTTCGGTTCCAACAGTTAAGCTGTGCATAGCTAAATATTGTTTTGTCATTTAAAATAAAACAAAAAAAAACAGTAAATTTCAAAATATTCAGGTTGAATAGTTTCATTTTAAATAGAGCTAAAAGCCATACATCACTGTCGATCTGTCAGTGAAAATAGGGCATACAAAGAGCCCCAGATATTAATAAATCAATTAAACAAAGGCTAACTTAAAATCTGTTTTCAAATTTCATTACTAAGCAGAAAGTTTAAATTAATTTAAATCACTATGAGTTTGATTGATAATAAATATAAATTATATGAATTTTAGAAAAATTGGTTCCACTGTGCATCAACTAAACATAGATACAAATATCTGCATTTATACACACATCATTCATAGCAGCAGCGAGCATAACATAAAGCATCACTCTGCAAACTGTTTGCACCACACGACTAGCCAAATCTTGGCGCCCCAGATAGTTGTCATTTCAACTAACGTGGGCAGCAGCCACATGTCATGTCATCTCCGGCTGCGCAATTTGAATTAAAGACGCAAAGACTTGCCTTGTCTGAGATATGGGTAGAAAGAAAAATGGCTTACCTTGGCTTCCAATTTTTGGTTCTCGTTCTTGACTTCGCTGCGATCGTATTCGATCTTCTCCAGCTTAGCGCGCAGCATGAGCAACTCCTCGTTGGCGATCTTCAGCTGCTCCTCGGTGCGGTGCACATTGAGCAGAGGCGTCACACGAACCAACAGACGCCACCAGGGCCAATCGCGCACGGCCAAAAAGGCCTTCACATTGCGTTGAATGCAACGCACCGCCAGCTCCTGTAAGGCCAAGATTGTAGACCAGGCTTATTGAAAATCTCCTGGGGGGGGATTGGACTCACCTGAATACGCCGTTGTGACATCTTTTTGCGTGCCAAATAGCCTCGACAAAACGCCTGCAACTGTATAATGCGATCCGCAAGCAACACATCGCGTTTAGCCTCCAGCTCATTAAGCACACCGGAACGGAAGAGTATCTGGAATATGATTAGAAGTATATATGGCATGAAAATAAGTATTGAGAATATTGAATTGAAATTTAATTTTTTTGGCAAATAAGATTGAAATCCTTGATATTCAAATACGTTAAGCTATGTGCTTTAGAAGATATCTCCCACTTCATAAAGTCGATATAGCATGCCTCTCTCTCCCTCTCTCCCGTGACGTGAAATGTCTTTATTATTATTGTTTTATTTTTGCGTTCATTCTAGCATTAATTCTATAGCTTAATTGGACATGGCGTTTATATGCATATAAATTTACTTGACAACCACATGTAGACCACAATTTTAAACAAAATAAATAAAACATCGAAACATGTGGCGAATTTATAAATATTATATATACACTAGAAAATACCTTAAACACATATCTAAACATCATAGCAGATATTTGCATATCAAAGCAAAAAAAAACCTTTATATGGATGCGGCACTTGACGCCTGCATGCCTCATTTTGTGTATATATCTCATTATGTCTTGTAGATCGGCTCGTCTTTTTGTGCTTTTTGTACATACACATCAAAAGTATCGAATAACGTTTTTTTTGTGTTATTAAACATATTAACAACCCCTTTATAATCATTTGTAACCCTTATAAATATATTTAAAGAATAAAATTAATTGATCTTGTAAGGAACTTCCAAATAGTCTTTCAATGAGTAATATTCTTTAAATTTTAAGATTTAATGATATTTTCTTATAGAATAAGTTGAATACAATATATTGAATTATTTTTATCCTATTTCGATCAATTGAATAACTAAACGATATTTATAGAATTTTGGAAATATGTTCAACGATTTTTGTAATTAGGTAATTGTGATCGAAATTCAAACTTTTTATTATATTTGTTAATACCATGAAGTTAAATTAACCAAATTAAATTTTTCTATTAAAAAACTCAACTGGCTTTTAATATTGTCATAATTGTCAATATTGTCATTCAATATTTTTATTGAACTTGGCATTAGATCAAAATAATCCAATTTATTTAGCAAAGATCCAATTTATATCCAAATAAGACTTGCAGCAGAGAATGGCAAAATACAGAATTTAAAAAAATGGATTTCCGCTGATAGCTTTTTAAATAAAGTGAAGTTCTTGGTCCCATCTTATGCTCAAATAGTCACAATTTTGTGTGTGAACGTTAAGAGCAGCTGCGCTTCCAAGCAGGCAACTCAAACAAATAAAAGCAAAATGTAATCAATTCAAGGAAGTGAAGGTTAGGGTGGTCAAGGTGGCTGACAGCAGCAGAGACAAAGAGCTGGACAAGAGCACAGCTCAACAATTTGCACACCTGTGCAGAAAGGTAGGAACGTAATGAAAAATCAAACAAAACCAGTACGAGTGCTCAAGTCGGCATTGACGGACTAGCAGATACCCTGTACCTAGCCCCAAGCTGCCGTTACAAATATTCTTACTTCCTTTTACATCCTATCACCACATATATAAATTATCACATTCTTGAATACCTTTCTCCAACTTGGGGAAAATAGGAGGTATCAAAAATATAAGTATAAAATTGTTTATACTACACCAAAAACCTTAACATATAAAATCTGTTTTTTCTATCTCTTAAACGAGACGTGCTCAGGGCATGCCATAGAAGGAACTAAGTTCCAAATTTAAAATGTTTGGCTTATAGTCCTTGATAGTGGCTCAATCATGCATACGGAAAAATTAACTTGGCTATTGATACCACTTTGTGGGATCAAAAAAAGTTTCTTCTGCCTCTTACTAACATTTGCACAACACCATTATACCCGTTTTTAGACATTTCCATTGGGTACAGGGTATAAAAAATCACCACTAAATAGAAAATTAAAAATAAACAAAAGCGACAATTCCATTAGGCAGCCCGACTCTCTACAAACAAATGCAATCGAGCCAAAGTCGCGAGCCTCCATTGAGACTACAAATTAGTTAGCTGAATGTCTTTGGATTTGGCTTGGGATTGGACGCACCTTTGCGGGGTGTGTCAACGGTGTTTCGCTGAATTTGCGACGTTTTTCGAGAAACTATTTCAAAATTTTAAATTATGCAGCGCACGTAGATCAAAAATGAAAGTAAACCAATGTGAAATTGCGACTAACCGGGAAAATGGGTGTGTATGTGCGGGTTGTCGACTGAGTTGAGGCGGGACAAGAGGCAACCACTAAAAAAACTACGAAAAACAAAAGTAACAAGTAGCCGAAACCAGGTGTTAAAGTATAAATACATAAATATAGAACAGAAGATAAGCGGCAAAGAGGTTTTTGTTTTTTTTTTTTATAACAATATTTATTCCAGTTAATAGTTAAGAAATAGTTGTAACTAATAGATATAGCCGGAGCGTATAAAGTGGTTAAGTTATGGTAGGGCCTTTGCTGGGGAGTCGCTAGCTAGTGCAGCTGCATAGTTACCTCTTTCATATAGGTGGGATAGATCTCCACCTGCGTTTGTATGCAGCGCACCGCCCGCACCTGCGCCACTTTGGTCGTAGTCGTCGTCATCGTTGGAATCATATGGTTGCTATCCGTTTGGCATTTCGACCTGGCCTCAAATTGTTGCAATAGCTGCGCAATTTTGTTGGGCTTGCAGCAGCTTTTGGCCGGCTCTGTTTCAACCTCGCCCTCACCCTCGCCCTCGCCCTCAGACTCGCACAGACTGCCAGTTGAATTGCTGGTGGAGTTGGATGCCGATGACAACACAGTGTTGCTTATGTGACCCGAGTCATCCGAGTCGGAGTTTGAGTTATGTTCAACAGCTTTTATTGGCTTATGCTGCGGCGGCTGCTGCTGTTGCACCACTTTGACCAGCAGCTCTTGATTTTTATCGGAGGTCTCGCCCAGCTTGGGAGGTATTATCTTGCACGATTCTAGCTTGGGTTTGCCCACTTTCTCCTCGTTGGCGTAGTGCAGCTTTTGTAGCTGCTGTTTCTTTTTATGTCGCAGCAGCTGCGTGTGCTCCTTACTAACTCCGCGACTGGGCCGTGGCTTGCCGGCATTTAGGCTCTCCACTTGACGCAGCAGGTCATGACCCTTGGCCAGGCACTTGACCAACAGCTCATCGCTGTGCGCATTCGGTGATCGGTTGGCTGTCGCTTTCAATGTCGAATTGGCACGTCTGGGCGGCTTGGTCACCAACTGGCGACGCTCCAGCGTTGAGTTGGCTCGCTTGGGCGGCACAACAGACCCTGGCGGCGCCGGTAGCGGCTTCATTTTGGCTGCCGCATTGGCTCTGCTGCAGTTGCGACTGCTAAGTGTCAGCATGGATCTGGTGCGTTGCTGCTTTGGTTGCTGTTGCTGCTGTGCTTGCTGCGATTTGCTAGCGGCACTGGCCTTCTCCAGGCAGCGCAGACTGGAGTGCTTGGATATGGGTATGCGGCTGCCGCTCAACTGTCTGATGTCGCACAGAGAATTGTAGCGTTGTTTCGACCTGGAGTCGCTGCGGCGCAACAGCATCGAGTTGGCCAATTCGGGCGTCTGGTAGATCTGTCGCCTGCTCGAGGCCATGCTCAGCGTGCTATGCGATTTGGACAACAGCTGACGATCGCTGAACTCAGCTGGCGGCGGTGGCAGCGTTAGCGTCAGCGGCAATGGTTGCTCCAGCTGCAAATCTAGCTCCTCCACTGGTGGATACTCCTGCAATATTTGATCGAAGCTCTGCAGCACCTCGTTCAGTTTGCTCTCATCGTGCGCGACCTTCTCCAGCTCCGCAAATATCTCATCTTCCAGCGATTGCTGTGTCAGATTCAGGCTCATGTGACTCTCCTCATCGCTGTCCACATAGCTGCAAACGCTGCTACTCAACGTCAGGATCGGCTTGCCACTGACTGATGCACAGGTCGGCGCATCCGCTGCTGCTGCTGCAGATGCCGTCGTCTTGGATGTGTACTTGCCACCCACACAGCCGCCGCTGTCCACTAGGCTGAGTGCGCTCATGGAGCGCGTGTGCTTGCTGCCCTTGTAGTAGAGTTTTCCGCTCAGCTTGGGCGTAAGATTATCCTCGATTTTGTGTCGTATGTGCGAGAAGAACTTTTTGCCAGCGCCCAGGCCGTGTGCCTGTTTATGGGGCGTGGCAGGTGGCAACGGCGGTGTGCTGCGCGCCTGCGACAGCTTTGATTTGACCGTGTGCTTGTACATAATAACAATAATTATTGTGAGTTATTGATGGCGATGATAGCAAATGATGATGAAGATGATGATGATGTAAAGACTGGCAACAAGTAAAAGTGCATATAATTTTTGCAGTTGTTGTTGCGAAATTTCCTTTCGATTGGCGGTCGCCGCTTGTGGCCACTTGACCAACAGCAGAGCCAACACTTTCACAGCTGCTGGGCGCTTGGCGCGTAATTCGTGTGTTGTTTTCTCTTTGAGCTCAGCGGCGCAACTGAATTTCTTGCCGCGCCAGACGCAGCCAAACAGCCAGCAGACCAGCAGCAGCAACAGCAGCAACAACAACAGCAACAGCAACAAAACAGTCAATAGCCAAGTGCGCTGTGCATTCGAAAGTGGCTTATCAACAAACAGAGCCGTGGACATGGTCGCGGCTTACCGTAATTGGTGGCGGTCATGGTTAACCATACGGTGGGGTAAGGGGGCATGTCGGCGGCCCAGACATCGTACCTCTATGCAACGTGTTGCAGCTGCAGGTTCGATGCTAATAAGCAGCACCAACAAATCTGTTTTCATTCAGTCGTCATATGCTCGATTTATCGTATGCTCTCCTCATTAGCGATATTACAACAATTACACACAATCATCGTCATCATCACCATCATCATCAGCTTTAACATCATAACCATCCCAGTTATGTACAAATAAAAGTGAAAAAATCTCATTTAAGTTTTCATTTGAACTTTTCATTGTCACCGATTGGACTCCAGCGGGTATTAAATCACCCATAGAGAATATTCACATGCTTTAACGCTCGTTCGTGACAATGACAAATATTGTGCAGGTTCTATAGAATCTGCCTTCGCCTGTGGCCAGTTGAAAAGGTTATTGCACTGCCCTAGGGCAAGCATGAATATACTCTATATTGAGTCGACAGCACGCCCGGGAAACTCGAGACAACATTTTGAACAAACACCAAAGAATCTTAAATATGACACTTTTTTTTTAAAGCAAAATATTCCTAGCATTTACTCTTTAATTTAACCAGATATGGATTCAAGTCTTACTAATTAAATCTTTTAAATAATATAAATTATTATTATAATATAATATGAGCAATAAATGCATATAACTATATAAAATGCATCTAGTATTTCAGATCCGTTTTAACCTAGAGTGACAAGCTTAATAGAACAAATTCTCGTTGGCTTAAGAACTTCACGATGTATTGATAATATCCAGTTTTTATCAAGAGACCACTGAGATTAGATAGGAATAACTTGTCCTGCTTAAGCACTGGTGTATTTGCCCACTTTCACAACCCCTCGACAGTCTCCTCCAACCTAATCTGTTCAGGTTTGCTGCATCTTTTTTAACTATGATGAACTTTTCATTGGAATCTTAAATTATTTTATTGTCTTATTTTGTAGATCATCAATTCTGTTAATACTTTCAATTGCATTATACATACTTTTTTTTTTGTAAATCCAAATTCCCACGCCTTTATCTCTTTAATAATAAACAAATAAATCTTATGGAAAGAGCGCTTCGATGATCAGTGTCGATTGGCGATTACAAAAGATTATTACATTCGATATCGAGTGGATGATTTATAGAACTTTGTGTCTCTTCCTTATTGCAATGTCAACGGTCTGTACTCGAACTGGAGTCAATTATTAATTATTCTAATTAAAATTGCACGCCGCATTCACTTATCAAATTACGTACACCTCGACGGCGATCAAGAGCAGAGCTTAACGTCAGTTATGTACCTTAAAAGAGTCTCACATAATTTCGAATTGGTTTAAAAAAGAAACACGTCTTGCAACTAATTAACTGAATTGCAGCTGGGTTGCAGCTCTTGCGAGAAACTCATGTAGGCAGCTTCCTGGTTATTGTTATTTCATAATTAATCGAAAACTACTTTACATAAAGTTAGCCTTAAGGGCCAATTGGCCCGGTTTAGATTAATGCGTAAATTGATTAAGTCCACGCCCCTTTTGCTGCCCAAAAGGGCGGCAGCCGCTTGCATGTCAAAGCGCTAATGAAGTTTTCGTGTTTTCTCGTTTTGAGCCAATTTCAAAACCTTTTTCACTGGACTTAAGCCCCATTGACAGAACCCGCTTCCATATATTATGCAAGATATAAGCTGCACACACAGAAACACAAGCCGCGATTCATTTCTAATGAAAGCGAACGCTGGGAAATTTCACTTTAAATGTTTGCATGGAAAAAATGTTAATGTGCATTGGACAAATGTGGTTGTTGCTGTTGTTGTTGTTGTTGTTGTCTGCGATCGTCGAGTTGTCTGCAGGTTGCAGCGGGTCGCGCAGCTCGACAAACGCAACGTCATTTTTTGGTGAAAGTCAAACGACGCATGCGGCTGGATTGGATTGGGTTGGGCACAGTTTCGGACTCGGATTTGAAATTGAATTTGGTTTCGGAATGGTACGTACACTGCGTGCGCTGCGTCCGATGAGCCACAGACTGCTGCCCAGTCCATAGATTAGCAATATCAAACGCCAAATATCGTCTGCCGCATGCCTCTGGCCGCAAAGCTGCACAAAGATGTTTAGCAAATAATCGCTGTGGCTGTTGTCGTTGCCGTTGCCGTTGGTGTCGCTATCTCCAAGCCAGCTGTTAAATCTGGCACTCTCGTTGCCATTCGATAAGCACACGGCTTTGGATTTGTCCGGCCACATTATGCGTCGATGAAATAATTTGCCTGCCTCGCTGCAGCGTTCTCCATTTGTGGAAACCAACTGAGCATCAGACATATTCAGACCAAGAGGCTGGACCCATAGCTCGACAAGCCAACGCCAGACACACACCATAACAACAATAGCTCGGAATTCTATACCACAATGGAGGCGAGAGCTTCACAGATGAACTTGACCGTGAAAGTTGTCAGCGTCATCGCAACAGATCTCAGAAACCCAAGCAGAGAAAAAAAAGTGGACTTGCAACAAGTGACGTCAAAAGTTAGTTTATTACGATCAGTTTTTGTAGGCACCTACCGGCATTTAGCAGGGATTCACAGTTGCATGAGAACAGGAAATCAAAAACCAACCAATCAGCCAACCGAGCACATGCCAGAGCCCTAGTAAGTAATACTTTTAAGAAGCATCGAGAGTTACACACATGTCCAGCAGTTTAGAATCAATTTACGATAGTTCAGAACCGCAGAGAAGGGCGAAATTTAACAAACCAAATAATAACAAACGCATGATAGAAAGTGAAAGCTAAGAAAGGAAATATAATATCTATAATTAGATCAAATGTGTTAAGCTGTCGCATATTAATATTCTTTTAATTGTGCTAAATATTCAACAATAAGGAAATGTCTATGACTCAACGTCTAGTTTATTTTTGGTGATTTTTAAGAGCGTTAAGTTCGAAATAAACAGCGTTAATAAGACATTTATATGCAGAACTAAACTAATCATTGTTTTATGGTTTTTTAAATTCATATAACGAGAACATCTAGAATTTCTGAATATGCCAGTATAGTATTTTCCATAGTTTATTGAGATAACATTTAAATTAATAAATAATGGCAGAAAAATTAAAACTTATTGTCTATTGTCTTACAAATTAGGCTTTTCAATTTGATTTAGATTATTTGTTTACTAATATAATAATACAACTGGTCTTTCAAGACTATCATGTGATATATTGGGTTCAACGTTTGATTAAGTTTCCAGCTTCAGGAACACAGCCTAATAAAACCAGTAACATAAACCGTAAATAGGAAGTTTATTCTTGATTAAAAGCAAGTTTCATTCAAAATGTGATGCGTGCTGTGTTTTTAATTTCAAATCGATTCGAATCAATAATTGTGGGTTTAACTACGCTTGTTTATACTTTGCAGTTAATAAATAACAGGGTAAAAGCTCCTAAAAAAATCTGTTAAGGGAACCATTAACTTACATTAATAAATATACAAATTGCAAATCAGATTGTAAATACTAGTATTAAAAACAGGTAAGAATTTATAATGGGCCTCCAAAAATATTTACCTAAACTTATTTAGTTTACTTATTTTTTTGATATAGAACAAAGCTTATCATTTAATCTTGTAGTTTGGAATTAGGACTTTAGTTTTATGACGAGTAATCCGAACTAGCAGAAAAATAAAAACAATGCATAAACCTTCTGCTCTTTACCCTAAGATGTACATATATCTTTTTTACGTCATTTACTTTCTGGAATCATGAAACGACTATATCAAAGGCACTGTTAAAGTCTGAGGCATGCTGCTGATTAGCGAGTAGATACCCTGTACGACTGGCATGACACAGTGCACTTGGGCTACTGAATACACTCGTTAACTGCACAAGGTTTTATCGATTTAAGGTGAAGTTTATTTTAGGTGCATGTGCACTCTATAAGCCCAGTGCACACCCACTTTTGAGCACATTCAATATGCCTTTAAGGAGCTTAACAAAACAATATGATCAATACCGTACAGGTTTCATCTGGCGTAATAAGCACGCATTATTTGCTTTAATACGTAAATCCTGTCAATAAACTTTGTAATAAGCCTCAACCGACACATGTCTTGGCACGCACGAGTTGAACGATCTGTTATATGTTTTTAAAAATTAACAACAGCAATAGTAAAGAGGAAGAGCGACACATGTTTAAGTCAAACATTTTAATGCCGCTGTCGTAAAAAGAAACCAAGTCTCACACTTATGCTACGACATGAAAGATCCGCTAAATGGTTTGGAAAACAACGATATGAAATTATTGCTGAACCTGAACCTTAAATACGTGTAAATACATGTGATGAAACGCCAATTCTCCAAACTCACACAGTTTATACGTAAATGTGTCCGAAAGCCCTGCTGAGCGAGGCAGCCCAGTGGCAAGTGTTAGTAGCAGGTTGTAGCGAAAGATCAACGACTTGGCTCACGATCTGTTTTTGTATGCATAATTACTTAGTTTGGCCATTTAACAGCATTCTTGTCTCGAATTTGAGTATGAAACATGACACAGCGCAAATTCAAATGCGGCTTGATAGTATTTGAAAGGTGCTAAGGCAACAAGGCGCCAGACAGGCTGGCAAAGTATTTATGCTCGGATTTTAACCATTGAATAAAAAATTATGCTCATAATATACCATGTTTAATCACATGATTAAGAATATGTTAATGAAATCGAGGTACAATTTCAAGCACTGTTTCGCCTGTGTTTGCACTAATTAAATTAGTTATGGATACCATGACTGATGATTCAAATTCAGACTGAAATTACCTAACAATTTGAAAATGGCCAGATAATTGGCCAATTATATGCGGACAACTTACATAAGAAAGTCTTAAGTTAATAATCGTAAGGCGATGAAAACTAGAAACCTGAATAAAACATATTTAAAAGTCAAATATAAATATATATATATATAGACTTGTTAATATATATAATTATACAACGCATAAATGAATTTCGTTAGCCAGGCTAATGAACCAACATTTCCCCTTGGCCGTAGCCAGAGAAAGCCTATTGACCCATGCCAATGCTAGGCTGTGAATTGTAAGCTGCTAAACTAAGGATTGCAACGCCAAAAAGAAATCGTCAGTCAGAATGAACAGCCGTCTAAAATAAGTTAGGCTCAAGCAACGGAAGTGGCTAGGGTCCAGTTGGCAGCTAATTGAACACGACAGCCCAAGTGCTCGAGTATTTGCTTGCACTTACTTAGTTGTATCTGCAATTGTTGTTAACTGCATACTGTTGCTACTGTTGCAGCCGGAGAAGCAGCAGCAGCAGCAGCTGCTCAATCTCAACAAGTTTGCAGCTTAAATGGGCGCTTGTCATGACAGTGACCGAGCTGTGGAGCTATCGCTGACAGACGACCGGCCGGCCGGCCGGCGCCTTGTCCAGCGCATGCGATTGCGCCGTCGTCCTCAGCACGCTCTGTGCTATTAGCTTTATACAACACTATATATAATGGTATTTAACACAGCGTCCGTTTAGAATTTTGCAATACTTTAGCTCAGAACTTGTAACGCGTCGGAGCTGTCGGTCGTCGTGCTCAGAAAAATTCGCTGCTGTGAGATCTTTTTAGTGAGCTGTGCTGAATTTAAGTGGCTTTTAATTCACGTTTTATCGCGAGTTTGAAACTTGATTCGGTTTTGAATTTAATTTAATTAAATTAAATTTTATTTTATTTATTGCTTTCAAAATGCACTTGTTGGTTTTGTTTCTGCTTTTGCCAGCTGGAAGTAAGTGTGCCAGTGATATGTTTATTTCAGGTGTAATCTGTAATCTGTGTTATATTTTTGTTGCTGTTGTTGCTGTTTTAGAAGTGGCCGCTGGCCAAAGGCTGTTCGCTTATGAGCGCGGCAAGTGCGAAATTTCAATAAGCACCGTTTTAGGGGGCTTGGTCCAAACGAGCCTGAAAAGGTTGACCAATCTGCCAACGCCCAGATCCCAAGCCAGTCTTTTGCAATATGATCTCTATACGCCGTTGAATCCGCAAGAGCGCCAGCTGCTGCGTCCGGGCGATGTGAATATGCTAAAGAATTCGTTTTTCAATGGCAAGTGGCCAGTCAGGTGGGTTGAGTGAGAAACAGAATGGATCCCTCATAATGGTTTGACAAAATATGAATATTCACAGAGTCTCCATACACGGCTGGACGGGCAAGAGCAACACCTGCTACAATGCGGCCATCAAGGATGCGTATTTGTCGCGTGGCAACTTCAATGTCATCATCATGGACTGGAGCCGCCAGGCAATGGACATTAACTACTATCGTGTCTCCAAGCAACTGCAATCGATTGCAGCCAGTGTTGCCAAATTTCTGCGCTTTCTGCACGACAACACGGGCGTGCCCTACGAGCAGATCTATTTGGTGGGCCACAGTGCGGGCAGTCACATCGCCGGCCTGACTGGCAAACATCTGCATCCCGCACGCCTGGGCGCCATATTTGCGCTAGATCCAGCGGGTCTCACACAGCTTAGGCTGGGACCTACAGAGCGACTGGCACCCACTGACGCCATTTATGTGGAGTCCATACACACAGATCTAAAGCTGCTGGGCAACCCGCAGGGCAATGAACTCAGTCAGGCCGCCATCTTTCCCAACTGGGGTCGCGGACAGCCGCAATGTCCAAATGCCACGGCCGCCGAGTTTGACTTTGCCTGTGATCATTTTGCGGCCGTCTACTACTTTGCTGAGTCTGTGCGCCAGCCCAATATCTTTGGCGCGCTCCGCTGCAGCTCACTGCAGAGCATACTAACAGCCACTTGTGGCTGCAACATCGACAACAACTACGCCAATGCAGTGTCTTGTGCCGCCGATGCATATATGGGCGGTGAGCCGGCTGTGCCCAAAGCGGGTGTCTATTACCTAAGCACACTGGAGCAGCCGCCATTCGGCATTGCCGATGGTCTAGTTCACATACGACCACCAAAGCCGTCAACAATTCTAAAAACAAGCGCGATTCGAAGACTTCCATAAGATGCAGGCAAAAACAAAGGCGAATAACCAAAAATTAATCTATAGACTTAGTGTAGTTTTCTATATATAAAAGAGGAAGTCCGGACTGACTGGCAGACTGATTGATTGGTGATTAACGCTCAGCCTAAATGGTGTGGGCTGAAATTTTAACAGAAGCTTCCTTTTGAGCCGAAAGTTAGCACCAAGACGGGGTTTTAAAATTTCGAAATGCAAATGGGTCAACGTTTGTATGAAAATCATTCAACTGGAATGCTGTCATATGAATATTGATGCCTTGCCATCGAAATGTTAAATCCTGTGCAACTTAGGTGTCTAGCCTGGGCCTCACAAAGTAACTTTTGACTAACTCGCCTTCCTGTTTATATTTTCCTGTCTTTTATTATAAATAAAGAAAATCTATTTTAAAAAATGCCGCTAGTTGTTCTTACTTTATAGAAACCTCAATTTTTTAATGGGACTGCGCTTTATGGGTGTCCCTACTGAACTCTTGGAATGAAATAATTTATAACAAATATTTTTTAAATTTATTCAAAAGGTAGATAGAAAAATGTGTCTATATTCATACGTATATATTCACGATTTCCATAGTGAAAAGCATTTTTAAAAACCCACTGCATTAGGGTATAATCCGTGCCCTACCTTGAACCGTTTTGAAAAGTAGATATAAAACGTGGTATGAGTATTTAACACATTTGTAGGAGTCATAGTACCAATATAATTTTGTTATAGCCTCTACGATTGTAATTCGATCAGCTTAATTATATAGAAAACGGTATATTTTTTAAACGTTTAATCTTAATTAGATAAGAATTAATAAAAACGTTTATGGTGTAGGTATTTAGCACATTTGCGAAATTCTATGGTACCAGTAAATTTTATTATGACTTCCTTGTTTCCAATTCGATGTTAATGCGCTCATTTCAAAACACTTATCTGTGCTTGTTATGAGAATGTGGCATGCATTTTTATTTATTTATTTTTATTTATTATATTTATTATATCCATTACTTCTGTAGCATTTCATTTGAAGCTATACAATGAAAACTCACTGCAGAATTTAAAAAACCAAAATGAGTCAGTATCAAAGACAATATGAGCTAGGCCTAGAGCTATTTAACCTTCTTTAAATGTAGTTTCGTTTATAAACATAAAAACTGGTTAGCCATTGCTTCGGTTAAACAAAACATTGTTGGGATTCCAAAAAATTGCAGTTTGGGGCTATACAATTGCAACATGTCAAAGAAAATACTATATACACACATCGTTTTTATTGCATTTGAAGTTTTCATTCGGTTCATTTAAAAGTGCGGTAAAGACTGGTTTTAATTCGATTGAAAGACTGTCGAGCCATAAATTACACGTAATTAAATTTGCACTTTATTACAAGAACAAATCATTTATTTTATTATTTTACTTATATTGATTAAAGACTAGCGACACAAGAATCAAAATAATATATGCAATAAGCAATCAAAAATAGTTGTGTTCTGTGTATCGAGGAATAAATACCCTTACATTAATAGTATCTAAGGGCGCTATTTGAAATAGTATATTGATGTTAATCATTGTTTGCTTGCATTGGGTGAGTTTTTTTAAGATATTTAGAAAACTATACTTTCAAAACTTCGTGCAAGGCTGGAAATCTCAATTTTGTAAGCTAGCCGCGCAAATAGCTTGTGCAATTTTCAATCAGTTAGTTTCAAAGTTGACCATAAGCACCACAAAGACGTCGACAGATAACCGACCAATTTAAACTCCTTCTATTACATTTTTAATAGAATTTAAGAATGTATTAAAATAAAGCACAGATCTCCTATTTTTGTCACTAGAGTACCGTAACATTTGCTTAAGGATAATGTATATTTTATCGGGACCAAAATTTTCGCCTATCTGAGCTATTATGAGCTGAAGCCACCGACAATTATCGAACCAATTATATTTGGATATAGGTTCTCTTATCAAATTTATTCAATTGTTTTCGATAGCTCTGCCTTTTCTCCGAATATCGATTAGAATCTCCCACAGGCGTCCAATTTTAAACTGAATTTCGAATAACCTATATAAGTCTATTTCAATTTGTCAGGAAACCCATTCTTTTTATACACACAGCCTTTATTCTTTGGCGTTTACATACAATAAAATACAATATATATGCTCTGCAAATATATCACACAATAAACATAAAAGAATTATGTTTTATAATGTCGAACTTATTGAATGAATAAGCTCAGCTGGATTTCTTAGTTGGAGTCTTATTTGCAGAAACCAGTTTATTAGCCAATTCTAAAATTTCGGTATATACTTTAATGAATATTCAACTCACCTGACTTGGTCCGATACGATAGCTGGCAACGTCCATTTCATTGACGGCGAGTATTTGCTCTACGCTGATATCTTTGTTGTTCGCCAGATCGCCGGCTAACAGACCAAAGCGACGCACAAACTCCAGCAATGGCACAGATTCGGGAAAGCCCAAACGATGCAAGCGAGCCGCCTCCAAGACTTGCGAGCCACGTAGCTGAAAGCAAATGGAGTAAAACCTCAGCACACATTTGGAGAATTGATCCCTTGTCGTTGTCTCACCTGACTCCTTAACAGTGGCACATTGACCAATTCCTCCTCGGTAGCTGCTTGACCCAGTGCCGAGCTGGGTGAGCCATTCACCGTATACTTGGTATGCTTGCCCGCATTGTGCTGCAGCAGATAGCAGTGCACAAAGTGGGTGCCTGTGCGACGTAACGTGTCGATGATGCCGTCCACGGTGAACTTCACCTGCAGCATAATTGAATTGCGTTTCACACCCGCCGTAGTGAAGGATCGGCGTATGCTGGAAACACGACGCAATGACTGTGTGCCTTCCAGACCCGCGAAGGAACCGCAAAAGACCATGGCACCGGAGCCGCGCGTCAATGAGCCAATGTACAGACGATTGATCTCCTCGCGACTGCTGTCCTGCAGCAGCGACACCGCATTTCGTATGCCAGGATGCTCGCGGCTGTGTCGCACCCAGCCATCGACGGCGTACAGCACCGGGTTGGTGCCCTGCAGATGATGCAACACAAATTGACGCTGTCCGGCACATTTGCGCAACAACGTGTGATGCTCACGATCGCCGTAATGCGAGAACAAACGCTCTAGGAATGTGTCGTCATTCGAGTTGGGATAGATGGCCTCCTCGTCCAATAGCCTGCAAGTGGAACATTAATATTGATCAATATGAGATAGATAGTAAAACTAGTCACAATTCCTACCACAACAAGCCACGACGATCGTGCTCGCGCAGATCCCGTTGTGACGAGCGGACCACATGATTCTGTGGGGCCTTGTCAATCAGAGATATAAGCGGACCCGGATGGCATTCGGAAGCATGATCCATTTCGATCTCCACCAGCTCTTGGGCATAGCGATCACGTGGCGCTACCAATGTTGTGTGATGGAAAAGCATTTGCAGGCGTTCCTGCAGATAATTGTGACGCAGATCGGCTAGCGTGGCGCCCAGCTGCTGACCACAGCTGGCTGGATTCTGGAAGCCCGGCGTATCGATCAGCATAATCGAAGCAATAGTATGTGCTGATGTGCAGATCTGGCGATTAATCAGAGCTACCACAGCGGCTAGTGCCTCCGAGTAGAGGCCAATGACGAGCGCTTCAAGGCATTCCCAGGCCCATTCTTGACCGCCATCTGAGGTAGGCGACTTGGAGGGACTCAAACTGCCGCCCGTTGCATTGGGCTGTGTCAGACCAAAAGCAGCTGCCGATAAATCCTCCAGATGGACTCCCAACAGGCTAGCCGCCTTGCGCGCTGCTGTCGGATTGGCAAACTGAGTTCGTGCCGTTGAGCCGGTGCCCATTCTTGTAATGCCCGCAATGCCCAGATGATAAATGGCTGCCAGTATGCTCCAAATTCCCCGCACGGCTTTTGCATCAATGTTAAGTGTCTCGAATGCCTGCACCGTACGCAAAAAGTCATTCGCTGCCCGATGGCGATCCTCCAGACGCTGAGAGAGCGATATAAACGGATGACTGTCTTCAGATGAAATGTTCTCCAAATGCAGTTCCTTCTGCAGCAGCCCTGCGGCACCCGCCAACAGTCGCGTCATAATATGAAAGCTGTGCTCGTGCGACAGCCGGCGTCCCGCACGTTGACGCTCCGGCAGCAGAACCTGAAGCCATTTTGAAGCATGATCAATACAGTCCAGTTGAGATGTGAACACACTCGGCTTACCTGTAACGAAGCAGATGCTATTTGCCCGGTCTGATCGAAATCCAAGCTGAGCAGCTGCGTCATACGCGTCGCATTCGTATTGAGACATGTTCTCGTATTGCCAAAGGCCTCCAGAATTGTGCACAGGGCACTCACTTTTTCCGCATTGATAAAATTATTGTATGCACCTGTACAGTTAGGGAAAGTAAATAATAGTTAGTGGAGTAAATAAAACGTGTCACAGACATTGAGAATAATCTATTTTAATGTAAATTAATATTCAAATAATGTTTATTCTTCCAGATACAGAACATAACATAACGATCAGAAGAGCTTTAACTAGGAATTATTTTAAATTCAAGAAGAAGTCATTTTCTCTCTTGTACTTGTTCTAATGTTACCTTTTACGAATACAGCGAAATTTCCTTGTTTAATTCTAGACCAATATTTATTTCTTTTTTATGAGGGCTCCCTTATGTCAATAATGAAAAATTAAAAAAATATTAATCTTAACAAATCTTAATTTGCTTCAAAGCTCTTAAGAGAAGGGAAAAATCAAATACATGAGCTACAAATGTAGCCCAATAGACAACTCATGATGGATTTGATAAGTCTTGGTTTCGACTTGGCCATATATGGCACGTACGTCATAATATTTCTAAATTATTCCATTTTACACTGATAGAACAATGCGAAATGGCTTGACAAATTGCAGCTGCGTTTTAACAGAAAATGCAAATGAGCTAATCGAACGCAAGATTGGATTTTGGTGTGGCACAAACTGGCCAACCCACAGCAGCAATATCTGCTGTGACAACAACAGTAACAACAACAACAATGTCTAGACATACCAGCAGCCAACGCCAAGTAGTTGAGCGCATGCTTAAAGCTTGTGGTCTTGCCAGAACCAGAACGACCCATGAATATTAGACTTTGATCGCGTCGCGTTTCAACCAAACTCCTGTAGGCGGTCTGGGCCAGCGAGTAGACGTGGGGTGGCATGTCCTCCGTTTTGCAGCCGCGAAACATGGATACAACCTACAAGCAAGCAGACATGATAAATAAACCGAAACAAATCAAATCAAACCAGTACAGGCCAATAAACCAGACCAGTCTCAGTTTTACCTTCTCGGAGTAGAGCGACAGCGGTGCCATTGGATTGACCACAAGCAGCGTGGGCCCCGCCTTGGTGTGTATGAGATTGCTGGCATAACGCTGCCGGAGGCAGTGCAGCACCGACGCCTCGTTTAAATACTTCAGCTCACAGATGTCTTCGGCCAGATCCAATGCGGCGTTGTTCTGCTTCTCGATGTCATCCTCATCAACGGTCAATTGTTCGCCATTGTGCAGCAGTCGCACGCTAAGCTTATGCTCCTCGTGCGGCATGCCAATATTGGGCGGCAGACGCAGCGCAGCGGTGAAGCCACCACGATGCACCAACCACACTCGTTCCGGCTGCGAGGCATCATCGGTTATATCCACATCGCTGGCGCTCTTGCCAATGCTGCCTGTACCATTCTCGTGCCGGCTCTGCAAAATATGAATATTAGATAAAAATCAAACAAAATTGAGGTCAACATTTTGGTTTGGCGGCGCAACTTCAAGTGATATTTTGTGTACGGTTTTTTTTCTTTCCTTTTGTTTTTCTTTTTTTTTTTTGTGTGCACACATTTTCACGCATTTATTCCATTTATTATGGTACTTCAGCTCAGTTCACCTCCACGCGTCGTCAGTTTTTCGTGGATTTTGGTTTTATTTTTGTGCATTTCTAAATTTGACGATATTTCTAAATCCTAATTAGCTGCCCAGACGCGACTACCAGCCCATAGAGAGTGAGGCCCATTGCCAGTGCCAGCCCCTTTCCCCATGCCCATGCCCATGCCCATGCCCATGCCCATGCCCATGCCCATACCCATGCCCATTCCCAGTCCGAGTCTCATTCCCATGCAAATGGTAGTGGGCTAGACATGCTCTGTGGATAATATTGCGGCGCGGCTGCTGCCTTGGTGTGGATGTGGCTGTCGACGTGGATGCGCGGCTGCGTTATGCAACTCGCCAACGTCGCCATCAGCGTTCGTCGGCGCTGCCAACACGTTCAGTTCACATTTGGAGCTATAAATGGCATTTACTCGTTGCTGCCGACGCAGTTTACATTTTGTGTGCTCCTATCTATGCATCTGCTGCATCTCCTCAGCACACGCCACGCCCCTCTCTTACCGCCCTGTGTCGGAAATTCAACTCTTTGCATTAACTTATAGCTGTCTGTAGTTGTTGTTGCATTCGTACTTTGTGGCGTAATTATGAAAATATTGTGCAAGGTTCAATAGCCCGTAATTAGAGCCATTTTCGGTTATGCGCTGTTAATGGATCGACAATTTGTGCACGCACTACTAGAAGTATATACCGATTTATAAGTTGTTTACAGGAAACAAATGTCGAGATTCATTCATGTCCAGAACTAAAATTGTTTGGCTGAATTATGTAGCATGTGGGGCAATCAACAAATGTTGAAAATATAATAGTATAGAAAACAACGGAAATTGTAGATATTTACTCCATTTTTCATGGCCCGTTAGTAGGGCAGTCTTTAAAAATATATTTTTTTAAATATGCATACCCGCTCCCACATACATATAGTACATACATACATATAGTATACGAAAATTAACATTTTTAAATGAGCAACACAAACTGTTAAGTCATATGTAATATTAAAAAGTTAACACCTGTGAGCTTTACTTGAATTCATGAGAATCACATAGGAGGGCAACACTTACCAGTACTTATTTGAAATTGCAGCGCAGGGTAAAATAAACTATCCGCTTCATACAAGATAACATACACACATATTTACATACACAAATATACAAAATGTGAATTTAACTTTTTTTTCGTATGAATAATATTGATTTTGAGCGAATCGCTACCTATGAAACCTTGAACCCACAATTATGAGGGACTCTTATATATTAAACTTGAGTGTGATTTAAAGTCTTTTCACAACTCCATCCAATAATAATTTTAGTTAAAACAAATCACAAGCACCGCACATATTTGTATACACAATCATTCACATATATAGTTTTATAAACAACATGAACTGGCAAGCGTCTGTCCACTGTCAATCAATAGCTGCAGTCATCGATTGCTGAGGCAGTTGTGGTTCAATGAACCCGCCACCGTTTAAGTTGATGAAATATACAAATTAGACAAGGAATGCGCAGACAGGCCCAACTAATTAACATGTATAGGGCATCGCGAGATATGAGACAAAGAGCATAGAGCGCGAAAAAAAAGAACAGAGGCAGAACAGAGGGCAGGCCGCCAATTAAGTTCATGCTAAGGTTTACCGAAACGAAACGCAACTCATTGTTAAGATTTCATATCTAAAACTATCGTTTATTTTGCGGCGTGCAACTGTCCAAGTTGGAGCCCAACAGAGAGACAACAACAAAGCGGGCAGCGTAAATGAATACTTCCGCTCGGCAGGGCAGCGCGGCCATCGTCGGCGTAGTGAGCCATAAAACCATAAATGCAGCGACAAGACGACCATATCGTAAATTATGAGCCGAGCATTTGCCCACGCACCGTCCCGGTCCCAGTCCCAGTCCCAGGCCCATTCCCTGTTCCTAATCCAATCGCAGTTCGTTTGTCCAACAGTCTGAGCATAATAAAATAACTAACAACTAAATCGTACATTGGGTCACGGTCCGACGATCTATCGGTCCATTCATCGATCCAGTCATAAGAGGCTAGAAAGTTTTTTCCTACACTAAACGACATAGATGAGAAATAGGATTTTATTTTTAATCAACTCTTAATCGAGTGAAACACATTACAATATTTTACTATAACTGCAATATTTAATACTGAAAAAACTTCAACTTTAAATAACCAGCAAATGGCTATGACTCGATATTAATATAAGGTTTGCTAGAAATCCAGCCACGCCTTAAGCGTGAGCCACACACCCAAAGTTGACAAATGCATTAATATATAACTAAACAAAAGTATTTAGGCCAGACAGTTAGGCTAGGTTTTTTCTACCGAAAATTTAAAGATAATACAATAGTTAGGGTAAAATAATATGAAATGCGGTCAAGGAGAGAGTGCAAAAGTACATATGAGAGAGAACAATTAAACTTTTATTTGTAAGCTAAAAATTTAGAATTTTTATCATCTTATATATCAATTAAGAAGTCTGGAAAACTATGTGTTATGAAAGCTTCAATTAATAACCTTTAATGATTATCTCTTTACTGAATATGATCAACGGAACGCTAAAGAATATTTTTGGATACATAAATGTAGATGGGAATACACATAAATTGTTTGTTTTCTGAATGAAATATTTAAGCAGGGAATTGCGAAACAACGATCCCAAAAACATATAAATTTTTTCTGGTAGTACGTAAATCATTAAAGAAATAAAGTAAATGATAAGGGTATTTGTAGAAACCTATATTAGCTTCCATTAAGATGTACATAATTGTCCACAGAATCTAGTTTCTGAGTTTCGGAAAATCGATTGGAGAATTTTTCATTGTATACAATTTATACAATATATAACAGCCGGAACCAATAGTTAATTACAAATAAATTAAAATGAAAAGAGAATTGGATATTACTAACAACTTTTCAAATACTTGCAGACGGTTTCATTAAACCGATTTCATAGATAGAATTTTGGGGGAATGACCTTCTATTTAGACATAAAACTTGCAATTCTTAAAGTATTTTGTTAGTCTTCCAAGTTTCTTTATGTCAGCCAATGTGCAAGAAAACATTGCCTATAAGCATTTGGTGTTTGGTTTTTGTAGTCGTGTGTAATTATATTATGCGCACCTTTTGCCTGACGCTTGCATCATAGTTTTTGTAGTTGCAGGCCAGCGAGTTGGCCCAGATGGCCGGCCATTGCTGGGCCGCGTTTTGGGCATCGCGACGTCGTCGATAAGAACTGCGTAGATTGGGTACGGGTGAAGGTGGCGCTGCTGCCACGTATTTGGATGCAGCTATCGCGGAGCTGTTCCAGGGCGGACGTATCGATGTTGTCGTTGCTGCTCCAGTTGTTGTTGTTGCTGCTGCTGCTGCAGTTGCTGCAACAGTTGCTGTTGTGTTAATCTTGCCATTCTGGCGAAAGCTGCGCGAACGTATGGAGTTGCGCTCGAGGCTGGCAGCAGCTATTGGAGTTGCCTCCTTGGCTCCTTGCCTGCTGGCCGCCAGTCGCGGTGGCTTGGGTGGCGGCGGATCAGTTGCCGGCGTGGGCGTGACAGCCGCTGTTGTTGTTGATGGCCAGCTGCTGGAGTTCTCCGAGCCGCTTTCACTGATCGTCTCCGAGCTAATGCTGTTCTTGCGCTGCGCCTTCGGTGTGGCCTTTGATTTAGTGGGCGTGGCCGCGTTTTTTTGCGACTTGTTCGTGCCGCAGGCGTGAGCCTTGCCCGTGCAGCCTCGATGAAAGGATGGATTTAGACCGGAGCCCGGCGCCGCGGGCACGGCAGGCACAATGCCGCCGCGCAGCGTTTGCTCAAAGCTCTTGGGCTTGAGAAACATGATAAAAAAAAACACGCGCGAGTGTGTTTGCCCGACTATTCGTCCGTGTGTGTATGTGTGCTTGTTATGTGATCACCTAGTACTTAGATCTAAGCCAAATGCAAACAATTGTCATGGCCAGCAGCCAGCAGTGCTTGGAGCATGACCGGACCCACACAGACCTGGCCAGAGACGCACAATGTGAAACGGGAAGTAAGTGCGAAACTGGAGCGCGCCCAAAACCTTGGAAACGTTAGTCGCAACACAGACTCAAAAATCTTATTGTGGCTCTGTGTGTGTGGCTGTGTCAGTTCAGGCACTTAGCGCTTTGACATTAGAGACAATTGAAACGGCTGAAAATGGCCAATCATCGTTCGATCGGCGATTGATTGATTGATTGAATTGCAAGACTCGAGTCACGAACGCGAATCCAACGCGAGTTATGAATTAACTATTAAAGCCAGCTTGAATGACAAGAATTTTTGAAGTTGCTGTTGTTTTCGTTGTCTTTGTATTTGTGGCTCTTGCTTTGCTGCTGCTGCTGTAATCCCGTATAGAAATTTCACTGTGGGTGTCTCGCGCTTCGATTTCCGTACCGAACTTGGGCAGAGTTTGCAGCGTACTGACAGCACTGCTCCAACGACAGCGACGACGAAGCGAGAAACAACAACAAAAAAGAAAAACAAAAAACATAAAGCAAGCAGACAGCGCTGCATAGTTGACGTCGACCGCGGCTGCGGCTATTTGTGTAGGCAGCCGCCGCAGTCTAAAGTGGGTGTAGAAAAATGCACACAGCTGCAGCTGCTGCCGTCGATGTTGCTGCTGCTGCTGACGTCGACGTCGTCGTCAATGTTCGCTGCTTGTCTGCGGCTGTTCGTGTTGCCGCTGGCACATGGCGGGCCGGGGTATCGGCAGCGTGTTGGGGAGCCATGCAGCATGTTGTTAATGATGTTTACTAAAATGCAGTTCGAGTTTTTTCCACAGTGTTGCCAAATCGTTTTATTTTCGTCTGCTGAATGAAGTGAATAAGGCGCTCAAATATGTCGACGCCTTTATCACATAGCCAGACAACAAGAGCAGCAACTACATCAACAACAACAAAGTTCCAATTGGAAACGGACTACGTTTAGTGTTGGAAAGGGTTGGGCCTGGAATTTCAGCTGACTGATCGTTCAGGTGCTGACAATTTTACAGCACATTTGCGACAGAGATAAACAGAGTGAAAAATGTCAAACACGTTTCTAACCGCGGCTAAAGTCAACAAGTTAATAGGAATTTCAATTGCAAGTGCTCGACAGTGAGTTACCCTGTACATTGAGCCTTAATCGAAATTTGCTAAAGAATACGTTATCTAGGGGTTTTCAATTTGAAGCATATAGCTTGAGATTGGCAATGATAAATAAACAAATATGAGTTTCTCATTATTATGACCTACAGTTATATGTTTTTTATTAACAAATTCTGTGTCAATTGTAGCCGTAATTCTTGAGATTTTATGAGCTATATTTAAATCAAATATTTATTTATCTGAGGCATATTTTCTAGGCTTTACTTTAGACACGCTCGCAACTGTTACCAAATGGAGGGAACTTGGTTGTTAAAATGTGTGCTCATAGTTCTAACAAATAATACTAGGTTCTCAAAGATTAAATCCCTCTACCTTTTATTATTTTACAAAAATGACCGATTTGAAAAGATTGTTAGAGTAGGAATCAAAATAAATCTTGTCACTTGCGAGTTTAGTCAGTTTATGCTACTAAATTTGTTAAATCAAGTGTTGGAGATATATCAGATATATCAAGTCATTTAATAATTCAAATCAATCAAAATTTTGACAAAAATTCAAATCATAAATACAAGAAAATTGTATGCAATTCCCAATGATTCCTATTAAGGTGTAAACGATGAAAATGTATATTTAGGATTTGGTAACACTTAACATTGTAAAATAACACAAAGGTAAGTTTTACCAATATTCAAGTTAACAAAATTTCCTAACCAGCCTCAGTAATTACTACCTGGGTGAGATTAGTTAACGAAGTAAACCTTAAAATAAATAATTTTGGCTTGTTTTTGTTTGGTTTTTTGTATAAAGTATGTTAACACCACATTACTAATAAATAACTACGAATGATTCACAACCATTAACCTAAATTGTTGAGCACTGAGAGAAATAGGAGATCGAATAAAATAAATCAAAAGAGTTTAAGAAAAAATGCCATGAAAGAAAGTTTTTTCTATGAACGAATAATAGAAACATTAATTGAAAGATTTAACCAATTACTATAGATATATAAACTAACTGCAAGCCGATCTTCAAGGTTATCTAAAGAATCTACTTTAAATTAACTTAACATATTATTTTTTATCCACATTTAAGTTACATCGTTATAAGGAATAGATCCTAAATACAAAAAATTATGTTGTAATTTTCATGTGAAGACTCTTCTGAAACCTCCTATATAGACTTCCTTTTGCTCGCGTAAAAGGGAAAATATAGATTCCCGCCATAAAACAATTGGTTGAACCTGACCTAATCTATTTGAAGGGTATGCTTACCCATGAATACTAATGGATTCTTGAAAACCAGTCTTACTTGAGATATTTAATTGTTGCATTGGTTCTATGAACATTACGTGATTAATGAACAGTTACGAGCAATTATGATTTTGTGCATGTTACAGGCCGCAATTCGCATTAATCACCAAGTCGCTAATGGATTAGGTTTGAACTGCGGACCTGGCTTGTGCTCTTACCTGGCGCTTGAAGCGTTTGCTGGCGCTGCGGCGCAAAGTGTTGCAGTTGCCATTGTTAATGGAATGATCGATCTCCTCGACGGTGGCCGTGCTGGGCGCCATGCAGCGCTTGCTTAGCTCCACCAGCTCCGCCACGGGTTGAACCTGGGTGTGGAAAAACAAAGGATTTTAACAAGTGTGGGTGGCATGGATTCGAAAGTGTGTGTTACGAACCTCAACGGTGACAGCATCGCCGCTGTTGCGTATCATCTCGATGATAATCTCGCGTGATAAATCACCCACGGGCGTGCCATTGACCTTGATCAATCGATCGCCGGGCAAGAGGCCTGTGGCGCCACCTCCTGCACCCGGCTCCGCAAAGATGACGGGCCGGAAAATCGGCGACGTCAGTGACTCGGTGCGATCCAAGCAAATGGCCTTGCGCAGACTGAAGCCAAAGTCCTGGCGCGGTGATTTCTGTCGCCTAATTACCAGCTGCCTGGGTGGCGGCAGCTGCACCAGCTGCACTGGTGGCAACGGCAGCTGCACATCCTCAAAGGCATGCACGCGGGCCCATCGATCGATGCCCTGCGATTCGCCCACGGGACTAAGCGAGAAGGGGGGCGTGGCGAACGAGGAGTTTGTGGTATCTGTGAGACTGTCCGCACTCGGCGACGGCGATGTCAGCACATGCAAATGGGCAACCTGTGTGGGCGTCTGTGGTGCGCAATAGCGCGCGTTCGCCGGCAGCGTCATAGCACGCTGCTGTGGGGCATGGTCGCCATCGCTGCGCAGGCTCTCCACGGAGGTGAACGAGGTGCCGTGCTGGCTAGAATTGGAGCCGCCGCTGCCGCCGCCACGGTTGCCTTCAAACAGCTGTTCATTTTGCAAGGTGTTGCGCATCAGCATTTCGGGCGTGCCGCCGCCGCCGCTGCTGCCGGTGAAGACAATCTCCTCATGCACGTTGGTCATGTTGCTGCGCGACCCCTTCAAAATGCCGCGCTTGGGCGGCTTTGGCGGCACCGGCGGCAAAAAGCGATTCTGTCAGCATAATAATAATTTAATTTAATATGATCTAAAGCCTCAAATTCCAATTGATACTCACCTTTAGCCCGCCGGACAGCAGCGAATGTGTGACCTCGGCGTAGTTCAGATTGATGCCCATGCCAGCCCCATTGGCGGCGCTGCGCTGGGTGCTTTCGATGTGTGTCATCACAGATGCCACAATTTCCTCATTGCCACGATCCTGCTCTGGCTCGCCGTTTCCGTTGCCGTTTCCATTGCCATTGCCACTGGGCGCATCGGCGTTGAGGGCCGCAAAGAAATCTGCACTGTAGTCGGCTGTAATGCCGCTGGGCAGCTTTTCCTTCTCCTTGCGGCGACCGCGTATCTTAAGCGATCGACGCACTTCCTCCAGTCGGAGCAGCTCGTCGGTGCTCATGCTGCCAGTTACGCCACCCCCGCTGACACCTTTAGCCTCTTTGCGCAGTTTCTTTTCACGCTTGCGACGCTCCTTCTCCTCATCGCCGGCGCTCTTTTTCATGAAGTTAAACATCTTTTTCTGTAGGAATATGTGTGTGTGTGAGTCCTTAGAAAGCTAACTGTAATCAGAAGGATAATACTAGAGGAACTTTTTGTATTGGGCAAAAAACAAAGACAGAATCAAATAGATTCTTAAGATCATGAAAGCATAAAAGGGCCATCGAACAAAAAGGGCTCTAAGAAAAAGGGAAAGGGAAACCAGACGGACAATTATTTTTATTATAAATGTGTCATAAGTCAACAACATAAGTCAACAAAGCTTAAAAAAATATAACTTCAGCTATTTTTTGCATTAACAAAACAAATGACAATTGGATTTCTCACTCTACCCCGAAGACTACAATTCCCTAAAACGATTCTCTCTTTCTCAAATTACGAATTATTTAAAGTACATTTTTATTAAAAAACATATTTAAAAAATAATTTCAAAATTTTTGTCAAAAATATAGTGGAAATAAAATGTTCAGTGTACCATTACATAAAAATCAACCAGTTTTGGTACATTGCAGCACATTTGGTATCCCTGGTTTAATACATATTTTTGATAAACGCAGGATAACTGCAAGGCAATGCCGTCTTTGGCCAGCAGAAAATCAATATATAAAAATGTTATGATAATAATAAAAGTTTAATTAATAGACGAGACTGAATTTTAGTTTTAATATCCGAATTTAATGATTTGATTTTTTTTGCCACCAAGCGAAGTGCTCTTCGGTGTTTGGTCCGGTTTCCACTTCCCTGTTTTGAAGAGGGTTGGGGAATATCGCAAGTTCAAGGGCGTGCCCAACAATTTTGCACATTTTGTTGTCTGCTGCTAATTTGATTTGCCCTGCCGTGCTGTCCGTGCCCCTTTGAATTGCGGTTAGTTTTACATTTCTCGTTTCTTTTTCTCTCGCTGCAAAAGAAACCTTGGGACCAATGCACCCGCACAACACACAATCACAAAAGTTAACTGTTTCTTGCTGTCTGCACGTGTGAGCGTGTGTATGTAATTGCAGAATCGCGTAAACAATGCGTCAGGCATGCATATTTTCGTTTATCTTGCATTTCGCTTTGGAGCCAACGGTGGCTTTTGTCATTGAGACTCGCCCCCATTTGTTATTATTTATTCAATTATGCGCTTTCTTTTTCCATATTGTATACAATTTTTGTTTTGTTTTCACACACACACACGCTCATATTTAATACTTAAGGGGCCCGATGTTATTGCAGTTGTATTTGCATTTGTATTTGTATTTGTGTTTGTATTGATTGCCCCAGACTCGATTGCATTTCACATTTTGCTCTGCTTTATGTTGCTTTATTTTATGCCCAATTGCCTTAGCCTGGGCTTTATTATTTATACAATTTAGTTTGTGCTTATTCGGCAAAAACCAATAGACACAGAGGGTGGAACTGGAATGTGCTACAAGCCAGAAGCAAAATAGAAAGTTGCCTGCCACTCGCGAAGTCAATAACACCTTTGTTTTTGCAGTTTTCTATGTCTCTTTTGATAAGCCAGGCACACACACAGACACAGAGGACAATGTTTTGTCTTGAATAAACTTCTCGCGGCCAGTGACTGCATTTTTATGAATGCCACTAGAATCCTAGGGTTTACCTTTTTGTTATTTATTTAATGCGCACAATTGCGCGCTTGTCATAAACAAATGCCTTCAATTTAAATTCTAATAATTACAAAATTTCACCGTACCGACGACCACCGATCGGCCAGTGTGTACACAACTGCTGGGTAGAGGTGGAATTCAATCGGTAAATTAATATATCGATAGCAACAACAGCAATACCGATGACAATGTTAGTGTGTACACAACAGCAGATTATAAATGTGCCAATTTATTTTATTTAAAAATTTTGCAGTAGTGTTGCGTAACGCACAATGTACTTCCGTGTACGTTCTTTTCCTTAAAGATCAGATTCCATTACTCTAATGATATATAGATTAAACGCCATAAATAACAATTAAATTGCTTTATTATGAATCACCGCTGATTTAGATTTGGGTTTGATACATTTTCATACACAGCGATGGGTTTGCAAAAACAAATCAGGAATTAGTTACAATTGATTGGTGCATAGATCCGTGTAAGTAATTTAGTATATCAAGTATTATGTTAATTTGGACTCGCTGTCAAAACTGGTAGACAGCTTCTCCGAAGAATCTCTAGCTTCGGTTGTATAATAAGATTTGCGCACAGGAACGGTTTCAGGAGTAGGTATAGTCTCTCCGGTGGTATCGAATAATGCTTTGGAACTGTTGAATTTCTGTTTGGCCATCTGATAATCGCCAGAATCAAAGAATTTAGGTTTCTTTTGCAAACGTTTCTCGAGGAATGATGAATGGCCACCCGGCACATGTATATTATTTGGATATTTGCAGTTCAGTTTACCCTCCTCGATTTTCTCCAAACGAGGATATTTATTAGTGTCTTTAGAAGTGCAATTCAATGGCGTCTTCGCCGCGCTGTTGTTATTCATTGTGAAATCCATGCTTATCTATAAGGAAAAGAAATATTGTAACACCAATATAAGACTTCAAAATTGATTTGACGGAACATACTTAGTTGCTTATTAGAATAAAAACAGTTAATCCAATGTCATATCAAAAATTTTGTGTTTGAACATTGTTGAAGGCTTATTGTGGCAATATAAAGTTGCGAGTAAAATTGATTGTCATCCCATCATTATGAATGCTTAACTGTTGCAATGAGTCATATCGGCCGACCACCATCGTTTTCGACCGACCACCACATATACAGAGTTCGTCTATCGCAAGCCTTAAAAAAAGTGAAGCGTAAAAACCAAACGGTACATCTACATGGAAAAATTGTGTGAGTGCGTGTGTTTATGAAAAAATATTTTTTCAACATATGTATATATTATGCGCACCAGGAGAAAAGTAAACTTTCGATCAGTTCAACAATTGTGTGCCGAATCCGTATTTAACTGTGTGTGGCCTGGTGTCTGCAACACACATACTCAAGCACTCACAACACACTCACTCTTAACACAACAGAAACAAAAACAACATACGTGAGTTGTCGCTGCCGTCACCGTCACCATTCAGCAGAGTGTGCCTTTTACATTTGCGAAGTAAAAATCAAAAGCAAAAGTCGGTTCTTTTGCTCGAATAGGTGGGTTTAACATTTTCAGTAGCCTGCAAAATGCAAGTGTTTTATGCCAAATTCCAATAAACAGCCGTGGCCTTTGTTATTGTTGCTCGCTCGCTCGCTTACAGATTCGTCGTCGTCGTCGTCGTTGTTGCGGTCGCCGTCAACGTCGACGTAGTTGTCTGCCCCCGATGGTAATCTATCTCTGTGTGGCTGTATGTTTGCGTGCATGTATATTCACGTATATAGGTATAGTTGTTCGTGCGTGCGTGTTTGTATGTATATGAATTTGATAACTGTATTAGTGTCTAGACATGTTGCTGACAAGGCTGCAAATTCAAAACTTTTGCTTGCGGTTCGGTTCGCCGGTTCGAATCAATTTTTCGGCTCTTGCGCAGCCTTGTTCCCTTGTTCTTAAAAGCTTGTTTGTTTTACAACAATATTAAAAGGCAATCAAAACTGGCGGAAAAAACTCTCTGACATTAAGTCGTTAACATGCATGCAAGTATGCAAAATCAATGCATATACATGTGTGTGTGTGCGTGTGTATGTGATTGGACTTGTGTTGGTTCGGTTTGAGGAGTGAATCCCATTCGAGCCGGTATGCAGCCTTTTGCTGCTGCTGTTGATCACTTGATGCGCCGACCTACACAAACATACATATATACATACATATGTATATGTATATTAAAACACACTCGTACAGAGAGCCCAACATTTAGTGTGTACATATTGTCTGTCGAGACATAAATGCGTCTTGCTCGCCAACCTCCCTTGGTCCGCCTACACGCTTTCCTATATTCACTGCCTCGCACTTTGCAATGCAGACATACAAACGTATGCGTCGCATTATATATGTATATGCATGCGTGTGTGACTGTGTTTGTATTTTGTCGATTTTATTTTATGTACATTTGTTTACAGTTTTAGATAGCGAAATTTGTACAGCCGGCAGCGGTCGCCACGGCACGGCGTTGACATTTTCGCAAATTGCAAATGAATATGTTTTTTTTCAGTTGCGATCATTGCCGCACTCTCTGACACACACATGCACACGTGCCCCTCGCACCTTTATCGCTCGCTGCGATCTCAACTAGCGGGCCACACAAGAGTCAGCAAGCGAGACATGCAAGCATGTAGATTCATACATACACTTGCCCATATGCATGCATGCATACACATATGCACATACATACGTACATATGTATGCATGTGTGTATGCGTGTAAGTTCATGAACAGCCGCGTTCCGTCGACTTGTTTTGATTTAATTTCGCGGTAAATGCAATCGCGAAAAATTTGCTCATATCGCCGCGGCCCGCTTTGCGCTTTGCGGGGAATTTTGTTTGAAGCTAAAACAGCAAAAGAAACAACAATAACAACACAACAGCAGAAACAACAATTGCGACAGCCGCGATGCCAATATGCTGGCGCCTCTACATGTGGGGCGCGCAATGACTAAGTGAAAGAGAGAGACCCCAGGGAGGCCGCCGTCGCCGTTTCAGCCCTTCTGCGAACGGAAATGCCGTAAATGCCCAGTTTTATTTTTTCGAACGATCGATCCTATTTTCAACAGTTCTGCAGCTGCTTCTGCTTCTGCAGCTGCTGACGCAAGCGCCTACAACAATAACAATAACAACAAAAACGTCAACAATAACAACAACAAAGGGCTTTGCAATTTGCCATAAACACGCCAAAAGACAATAACAAAATATCCATATGCATATGTATGTATGTGCATATTAGAGATGGGTGTCTGTTGAGGTTTTTGCGTGACACGAAAAATAATATAATTTCCCATTAAGCAGATACAATAACCTCTATAAAGTATGCTATGCAGTTTTTAATTTAGTATACCATAATTGTTTGTTATAAATATCATTGAATTTTATAGAATTTTTCGACTGCAATTTTCAGTTTTTGCAAATTAGATTACCGCTATAACCGACACCTGCGACTAATTTAGTTTCTTGTCGGTAACTAGCTGTCTGGAAATTTTTTTTTTGTAATTAAAACTAACTAATCAGCGTTAGACCGAGTCACGCGCCCATCTCTAGAACCTACATAGATACATATATGTACCTGTAAAAAATTTGCATTATGCACTCGCTAAAATGCTAAGAAACGGTTTTTTTTTTATTTATTTTTTTTGTTTCAATTATTTTTATTTCTGTTTTTCAACAAGTGCCCTCATTGTAGACTCGGACTGGGGTGTGCGGACTTTGTTTTCTTGGTGCACACGGAACTGGGAACAGCCTCAACACGAATTACCTACCATTTGCGCTGCAGAGGAGATCGACTGTGGTTGCCAGCGCCGCAACAAGATCTGCCTCAATTACGCCTACGCCAACGTTAATGCCCACTGGCAGTCGTTTGGGCTTAAATTTTAATAACAGCAGCAGCAGCAGCAACCACAACAACAACAACAACAACAACAACAACAACAACAACAACAATTATTACAACGCGACGCAACTGAGCGACGCACTGTTAAACAACGACGTGACCGGAGTGCCGCATCCAATAGCGACGGCTACAGAAGCCATCATGTCCTTGACAGCAACTGGCACATCGCCCACAAGCCCCATTGAGCCCTTTGTGGCGGCTCGCCCACAAACCGTCAAGGAGGGTTGGCTCATGAAGCGCGGCGAGCACATTAAGACCTGGCGCCAACGTTACTTTGTGCTACGCTCGGATGGTGCTCTCATGGGCTATCGCAGCAGGCCGGCGGATAATACACAGTCGGATCAGCTGCTCAATAACTTTACCGTACGCGGCTGCCAGATAATGGCCGTGGATCGGCCAAAGCCCTTCACATTCATTATACGCGGACTGCAGTGGACGACGGTGATTGAGCGCACATTTGCCGTCGATACAGAAGTTGAGCGCCAGGCCTGGACCGAGGCCATACGAAACGTGGCCAGCAGATTGTCCGAAATGGGCGAAACAGCCATGTCGCCATCATCCCAAACAGATATGGGCGATGTGGACATGGCCGGCATCGCTGAGGTTGAACTATCCGAACAGTTCTCCGTTCAAGGCACCACGCGCAACAGCAGCGGCGTCAAGAAAGTGGTACGTAATCTGGATTTATAGATCCCTTTATTCGCATGATTTTATTAATTGGTGATCTCTTGTTTTTTAATAGACCCTTGAGAACTTTGAGTTCCTCAAGGTGCTCGGCAAGGGCACATTCGGAAAAGTGATCCTGTGCCGCGAGAAAGCCACTGCTAAATTGTACGCTATCAAAATTCTCAAAAAGGAGGTCATCATTCAAAAGGATGAGGTCGCACACACATTAACCGAAAGTCGTGTGCTCAAGTCAACAAATCATCCGTTCCTGATTGTAAGTGAATTTTATTTTATTTCACTTAAAGTTGCTTGATAACCCAAGAGCGAAGTCGGAAGTGTCACTCAGGGGAATTCCCCGTTGACTTTTGTTTACTTCATATTATTTGGACATCTAAAAATCACATATGACTTAACTGTTTCTTATGAAAGCAAAGATTAGGCGCAAGCTGTTCAAAAGGTTAGCAGGCAAAAAATATACATGTATGTATATGTACATACATGTACATACAAATATGTTCATACCGGTATAGAGTATATTTATGTAAATCTTAATGGGAAA